GGAGGCGTGACCTTCTTGTGCAACTATGGACTTACGGTACAACAGTGCCTGGCGAGGCATGGTGCTACCACATGGCACTGTCCCCCACCTCGTGTCTATCCCTCTCCGATGTGCTCTTTCGGTGCCGCAGTCTGCCTCTCCTTCCGAGCGCGCGTGCGTCGGAAAACGATCACACAGGTTGATCAAGCCCGCCATGCCCTACTCACGGTCACACGCACCAGACGAGCTCTCGGACATAGGGATCGCACTACTCCCTTCAGAGCTCGTGCTGCTGCCCTCCGAGGTCGTCCGCTTCCGCGAGCTGCTGGTGTCGTTGGTGGCCATCGTCATGGGCATGATGCCCGCGCTAGCAAGTTGCATCCTCAGCTCGCGAATGGTACTCTCCCGCTCGCGAATGGTGTCCGCAGCCTCCGTCGCCTGCTTCGCAATGGTGCTCGCCTGCTTCGCAATGGTGCTCTTCAGCTCGCGAATGGTGTCCGCAGCCTCCGTCGCCTGCTTCGCAATGGCATTCTCCAAGTCCTTGATCTGCTTCGCCATCTCGTTCAGCAACACCTGGTTCGTCTCCGATTTGGATGCTGCCATGGCTCCTATCGAGTCAAGTATATCGCCACTTCCACCACCGCCGGCCCTCCGCCACTCGGCCCGTGCCACTCGCCGCAGCATGCGCTCCCCTACGCCGCGACGCGTCCGCCATCGCCGCCGTCGCCGCTCCAAGTCACGCCGCCGGCATCTGCATCCGCGTTGTTCGCCAGCCTTTCCCTCCTCGCCTTTCCCATCCAGCGCTGCCAGCTCTGCCTCCTCTCCCACGCCATCGGCCACCACCTCGAGCACTACCACCGCATCGTCGTCTTGCTTGCCGTCCTTGTTGGCCTGTCTCTCACAGCCATGGACATTGTTGTCGCCCGCCACCGCCTCCGACCTGTACCCCCGCCCCGGCCCTTCCACCGAGGTCATACCCGCCCCCGCCAATAGAGTATGTAATGCAGGGCGGGTGAGGTGTGTGTGTGTGTGTGTGTGTGTGTGTGGGTGGGTGGGTGGGTGGGTGTGTGGGTGAGGCGTGGTCGGTCAGGAACAACGCCAGTATGCTGACCAGCACAGTGAAACAGGATGGAGAGGGGATGGGGCTGGTGATGGAAGGGGTTGGTGGTGGCGATGGATGGGGAAGGGGCTGGTGGTGGTGATCGAGGAGGTGTGATGATGAAGGGGATCAGTGAGGGGGATCAATACTAGGATCAATGTGCTACACTTGGTTGCACCCCACCGACCACTTCACACACCAACGAGCAACACGCACGCGCGCGACAGGCGGGCACCACGCCACTCATTCCCGCCTCCTCCCACCCCACCCACCCACCCACCCATACCCATACCCATACCCATACACGTACACACGCTTATGGACGGCGAGGTGCTTGTGCGTGCCGTGCAGCAGCAGGCGGTGGCGCTGCTGGGCTGTCTCCCAGCCGGCGAGCCTGTTCACGACGGCCATGTCGAGGCCGACAAGTTGGAGGATCTGGTCTTCCGCCTTCTGATCACGGGCACCCGGCCGAAGATGTTCTCCTCGCCACAGGCCCAGGCCTGGGCTGCTCTCCGCTCCGCACTCGGCAGCAACGCTCAGCAACTTGATCTTGTTGCCGCACTCGGGAGCGACGCCTCCACCCCGGCGGGCAAGGTCAGGGCCCTCGTTAGGGTCGCCCTCGTCGACAAGAGCCTGCCGGCAGCCATTCGCGCTATCGCCGCTCTCGTCCAAGATGCATACGCTCCTGACGCACCTATGGCTTCCCCAGACCTGGCAGAGGCCGCTGCAAAGGCCCTCGACTCGGTCCTCCACGTCGACTTTTCGCTCTGTGTCAAGGATGTCGCCTTTGATCAGCTGCCGCATCCCGACGTCCACCGCGAGGTCTCGGCCATGCTCGGCCGTATGGCGCTTGAAAAGAACGACGCTTCGCTCCGCTCTGCCACTGCAGACGTTTCTTCTGTCTCTACTGCGCCAGCCAGCGAACATGATGGACCCACTGTCTCCGCCGCCTCGCGCGGCCGCCGCCGCAAGAAGCGCAAGAAGAAGGCTGCAAAGGTTGCCGGCGTCGCTCATATCGACGCACCGGGCGCACCACCGGGGGATCTTCCCGCGCCGTCACCGTTGCGGCCCACAGGCATTGCTGGCTACCAGCGCAAGCTGGCGCTCGCCTCGCCCGGGGTCACGTCGTCGGACGACGCCGCCGTTGACGAGCTGTCGGACACAGAGCCCGACGTCGGTGAGCTGTCGGGTAGCGAGGTCAAGGCCGAGGCCGAGCCCGAGTCGGAGCCTGAGCCCGAGCCCGAGCCCGAGCCCGAACCCACAGCAAGTCCATCGTCGCCCGTGCCGTCACCACCGATCTCGCCGATCGGCGCGCCCGCCGTCGGGCATTTCGACTCGCCAACCGGCTCCACCAGTCGCGGCGGCTCTCCATGGCTGCCGGCTGATGTCGACCCTTGGGCGCTGGCCTCAGAGCAGCTGGATGAAAACCACCCAGACAATGTCAAGACGCACAACCTCATCACGACCGCGCCCGACGACCGCAGCCCGTCGCCGCCGCTGGGGCGGCCGAGCACCAGCCCGTCGGCCGTCGCCACTTCGCCCTTCCTTGCCCTGCCGAAGGGCACGTCACCGATAGGGCGGACCATCGGCAACGGGACAAAGGACACTGCTGCTGAGGATAGTGCTGGCAGCACGGCTGTCGCCGCCTCGCCGCTGCTCCCGTTCTCGGCCATTGTCCGCAAGAATCTCGAGCAGTCACAGTCAGACTCGGGCCCGCAGTTTAAGTTTCGCATTGGCGACCCTGCTCCGTCGACGGCTGCCAAGCTGCCGCGCGAACTCCCTCCCTCAGTCTCGGGCTTGCAGTCGTCGCTTCGCAACCAGGTCATCGCCGCGGCAGCAACCGGCGATGAAAGCGGTAGCAGCAGTCTGCGTCTGCCCGACGACGGTGCGGCGTCGCAGTCTGCTTACGCGGCGTCCAAGCCGATCACTCAGCAGTTCCTTTCGATCGGCGGGCGAGGAGCGGCCGAGGCACTCGGTGCGCCGGCGACGGCGTCGCGGCGTGAAGCCCTTCTCACCACTCTGCTCTCGACTACTGCGGCAACACCGACAACCGCGTACCGCCAGCGAAGCCGGTCGCGGCGGCTGAGTAGGAGCGCGAGCGAGGCCGCCTCCTATCAGCAGTCGGATCCGATGACTCACGCCGATGTGCTGGCGGCCTCGTTTGCCAAGGTCTTCCCTGTCGGCTCGCGAAACGGGTCGTCGGCGCCGGCGCCGGAGCTCAACCTTGCGCTGCTCATGTATGATCGCTGCGCAGGGTTGGCAAGCGTTCGGCCGGTCGCGTCGTCGCTACCGCTAACTGCGTACCCGTGGGAGAGCGCATCCGTCCCGGCCCCAGCGTCGGTGTTCTCGGCTGGCGCCGGTGGAGGCTTCTCGTCCCACGATTTGTACTCGTCGACTACGTTTGGCAGCTCGCCTGCGGCTGCACCGTGGCGCGAGCCGAGCAGGACCAGGGCCGACTCGCTGGCGTCGGTGGAAAGTGGTGCCGGCATCGTGGTGAACCCGAACAGTGGCGGTCTGTCGCCGATGTCGGACTGGGGCTATGTTGACGACGCCGCCATGTACCCGCCGCGCAAGGTGTTGTTCTTTAGCGAGAGCGGGCGGGCGCTCCCCGACTCGGTGGCAGCGCAGGGCGGGCGGTGCTATGGGTGCGGTGTGCCGATCGTGCTCGGCGGGCGAGAGTGCGCCTACTTTCTCAAGTACTTTTGCGGCTCGTGCCACACCGGCGCCGACGAGCTGGTCATTCCGGCGCGACTGTTGTCGTCGTGGGACTCGGAACCATACCCAGTCTCACAGCCTGCGGCGCAGTTTATGCGGGAGATTGCCTGCGAGCCGGTTTTCAAGATCTCAGTCCTCAATCCGAGTCTCTACGCGCGGGTGCCCGCGCTCGCGGCCGCGCACAAGGTCCGCAAGCGGCTGGCCCACCTCAAGGCGTTCGCCATGACTTGCCGGGAGCGTCCGGGGCTGTTGGCTTTGTTTGGCCAGCGGCAACACCACCTCGACAACATCCACTTTTACTCGCTCGACGACCTGCTGCACGTCGATGATCTGGTGTCGGACCTGGTCTCGTGGGCAGAGCATCTCGAGGCGCATGTGTATGGGTGCGAGCGTTGCCGGTGGAAGGGTCATATTTGCGGCATGTGCAACGCCAATGAGGCCATCTATCCGTTCCAGAACACAACTGTGGCGTGCGAGACGTGCGGCTCGTGCTACCATGTGCGATGCTTTGACCAGCGGCGCGACGCGTGCCCGCGGTGCGAGCGGCGGCGGAGCCGCGCCGCATCGTCGGCGACCCAAGAGGTGTCGACCTCGTCAGGCTAGGCTGCATGACGTGTCAAAGTCTTAGGGCACGTCCTGCAAATACCGCTGAATGAACCACTCGATGCCTGTGGTGATGACGCCCATGACCAGCGCGACCTTGAACACATATGTCAGCGGGCTGCGAAGGGTCATCTCGTTCTTCACAAAGTGGCACGGCTTCGGCTCGAGTCCGAGGCCGGCCCGCACGAATGAGGCGGTAAAACCCGAAACTGGCGTCCCGTACGAGGTGCACGAGCACGATGGGACGTGCGGGAGCGTCGGGCAGAACTGGAGGTCCGGCGCGTACGCCATTCTCAGGTGGACCGTGTCAAACTCGATCGAGTAGTGGATCGGGTGGTCAATGTCGCCTGTTGCCACAGCCAAGCAGCTCCCACTCTCGTCGATTCCTTCGATGATGTGCTCGGTGATGCCGGCTTCAAACGAGTCCGAGCACAGTGTCCGCGCTGGCCGCGAGAACCGCAACCTACCTTCGAGATCAATGCTGATGTTGACGTCTGCACCACCACCGGTCCCACCGTCAACATTTCCGTCCCACCACCATCACCCGCCCCACCACCACCACCCACGCCATGGTCATCGTTTCCGCCCCCGACCACCACCATCGTGATCGTCATCGCATCAGTGTGAGTCACGTCACGTCCTCTGACCCCCCCCCCCCCCCCACACACACACACACACACACGTACTCGAGACTTGATAGGGGCGGGTGCAGGCAGCAGGACAGCCACACAGACCACACATGTTGCCGACCCACTCGCCCTCCAGGGCAGCAAGAGTCGGCGAAGTGGTCTGCTTGAGAGCAACTACCTCGGTGGTCTCGGGTACAGAGCTCGCCATTGCGCACAGCACCGCAGCCGCAGCCACCGCCAGCGAGAGCGCCAACCCTGATGTCATCGTCAATGAGAAGACAGGAAGGGGCAGAGGGAAAGAGGGGGGGTTCCAGTCGAGATGAAGACGCCGGAGAGACGTGTGTACACACCCCGCCCAGGCTGCTTGCGGCTTGCCACTAGCGGCCGACAGCCTTCCGCTCACCGAATTGCGCGTCAATGCCACGTCGTGCTGGGAGCCGGGGCTGAAAGACACCCTCGGCCTTACAGCCGGTGCAACAGGGGGCAAGACAGTGTTCAATGACTCTACTCAGAGGGGCTCTACTCCTGGAGAATGCGGAAAAGTAGGCAACCTCGAGCTCGCCGTCGGTCTCGAGATCGGTGCAGTGGATGGCGTTCTTGACGGTGGTGACGCCAAAGCGGGCGCGGAGGGTGTCCGGCCGGACCGCGGCCGCCACCTGCGGGTCGACCGGGCCTGCAAAGTCGCGGAAGGCGGCGACGGCCGACTCAGCGCGGATCTCCAGTGCGAGGCACGGGCCCGAGGTCAGCTGCTCGACCATGAGCGAATACTCGGGGACCATGCCCTTGTACACCTCGAGGAACTCCTCGGCGTCCGCCACAGAGAGGCGGAACATCTGCAGGGCAGAAATCTCAAAGCCCTGGTAGAGGATGGCGTCAAGGATCGGGCCCATGTCGCCTGACAGCACCGCGTGCGGCTTGATCACCACCGCCGTGCAGTTGTCAAAGACAGCAGTCTGATCGAACGAGACCGCGCCCGAAAAGAAAAACTCCAGCTCGCGCGCCGCAGACGCCGCAGAGTCCGACCCATGCACGCCGTTAGCCGTCGCGTTATGGCCAAACTTGGCCCGGATCGTCCCGGGCTCGGCCTTGGCCGGATCCGTCGCGCCCATCAGCGCCCGCCACTTGGAGATGGCCGACGGCCCGGCAAGCTCGAGCGCAATGACCGCATCTGACGTCATAAACCCAACAAGATCGCCAAACCATGGCTGCTCCGCGTGCTCAGCATAGAACGACGCCGCCTGCCGCTCCGTCAGCTTCACCATCCGCGCCTGCGCCACAGAGAGCCCGGCCTTTGACACCTCGTCCACAATCTTGCCCATCGAGATGTATGCATCCGGCTTGATGAGCGCCAGTGTTCGCTCTAGCTGCGACCCGATCGTCTGGGCCGTGTACTCATCGCCGTAGTCGATCACATGCAGCTGCCGCGAGTACACCGTCACCGTCGCCCCGATGTACAGGTCGCTCAGCTCGATGTCCTCATACCGTGTCCGCTTCAGGAACGTCCGCCGGTTCTTGATGTCGTACATCTCCAGCGTCGAATCCTCCACGTAGTAGAACAGATGGTAACGCCGCATCAGCGACGCAAGCGCATCATGCCACTCCACCAGAAACGCAAACCGCTCGTCGAGCACCGATGCCTGCCGGCGGCCCCGGTCCCCCCCCCCCCCCCCACGCAGCCGCACACAGCACAGTCCAGCATACCCATGCCCACACCATCACACCCATAAGTCGCACACACTCCCCCACTGTCTCTTTGTTACACCCATTCTGTCCCCTCCTCGCTCTCCCGCCCTCTCCGTCTATGCCTGGCTGGTAGCGGGCGCAGGTAGCAGGGGCGCGCGCGCAAATTTCAACCGCACCGACCGACCCTCCACCCCCACGCCCTCCAAGCCCTTCCCCCCCCCCCCCCCCACCCCTCCCAATGTCAACCTGCAAGGGGAATATATGCTACGACTCCTACGGGACAAGCTATCTGTAGCTACTTTGGCCTCGTACCATGGCTTGTGCAGACGTGTGGTGCCACTGTCAGCAGCAGGGGAGCGGCCGGTGCCACGGAAGAACGGTTGGTGGGCTCGTTGGCCGGGCGGTCAAGGAGCAGCCGGCGATCACGATCACGAAGTCGGCCATGAGCGAGCGGTGGTACTACATTCAGCTCTGTGGCAGGGGGGGGTTAGCGGCCAGTCTACTCTGCCACATGGCGTGGATACAAGAGAATGAGCGATTGGAGACCATGTGTAAGAAGCTGGTTTCGACAAAGGCTCGCGACCGTAAGGTATGTAGGTGGGGGGCCGGGGGGGGGTGGTTTGGGGGGTAGGAAGGCTGGGCGCAGAGTGCGACCTTTTTCGGACGGTGGGCGACGATGGTACTCACTTGTGGACCATGGGTGTGTGTAGGCCGGGCTGAGCTTGTACGACCAGCTTCTGGGAGGGGAAGCCAGTAGTGTGCAGGCTGTTCAGGATGTTCTCGACCGCAACACGAGGCAGGTCGAGCTACGTGGCGAGCGCAACCTTGTGACATGGATGGAGGTGGTCAAGGCTCTCACGACGCTTGTCAACCGTGAGGGCGACGCCGTGGTGAAGAAGGTCCGCAGCGGATCGGCTGTTGGGCGAAGCGTGTTTGCCATGGGCATGGCCGCTTTTGGCACGGCTTCCAACGGCGACCGGCCGGGCGCTGCCATGCATTCCATTATCGCCATGGTCCTCGACTCGCGCGAGCAGGTGCTTTACCCCGAGGCGCTGGCCTTCTTTGAACACGCTGTCCTTGTTGTCAACAACGACTTGCTCGTCTGCGGCTATGGCCGACACTATCTTCGCATCCTCATCGACTGCCTCTCCTCACCGCTGGTGGCGTCCAAGCTCGCCGATGACCATGAAGTCGTTTCCAAGCTCGTCGACACCCTGGTCCGCCGGACAGCCCTCGTGGTCGACCCAGACCTCTCGCCCGACTTGGGCAAGCTCGCCGCATCGGCGCTACAGTCTCTCATCACTGCCGATGTGTGCGATGTCAAGCCCGAAATTGTCAACGACATGCTCGGCCAGCTGAGCCAAACGCTGGCCGCGCTCGGCCCTCGCCATGCCGCGAGCAAGCTTGCTACCGCCCTTGTCACCCTAGTCAACCTCATTCTCGTCCGATATGGACTCAACTCGGTTGAGGTTGTCCTTGAGCTGTGGCGCGGCCCACTGATGGGCTTCCTCGAAGCTGCCTGGACCGGCGAGCTCGACGGGCCGGGCCCGCGCGCTGCGCTTCGCTCGCAGCTCTGCCTCCTCGTCCAGCTCATGCTGCGGCTGGCGTCACCCGGCACCACCGGTAAGCTCCTGCCCGGCATGCCGCGTCTCGTCGAGCGCGCCATCGCCGAGTTCTCTGCAGGCTCCCTTTTGAACAATATCAAGAGCCAGATCAAGGTCACTGACTCATCGGCCGGCGTTCCGCTCAGCCTAGCGCCGCCGACCGCGGGCGCGCCACCACCGTATGCTGTGGCGCCAGCCGACGATCGGTATGTGACCCACGGCCTTCCGTCGCCGCTCGGTATCGATGCCTTTGCCACCGCCGCTGCCGCCTGGTACCACACTCAGTTGGCGTCGTCGCCGCCGCGGAAACACACTGTGCCGCTTATGCGCCTTGTCAGCTCCGCCGTAGCTGCCCTCGACGTCGAGTCGTCGTCGCTCGACGAGATGGCCGCCTCGTCGTGGCTTCTTTTCCTCGGTTACCTTGTCTTACATGGCTGCCGCCTCGTCGCAGACATCCTTACCGCCGGCGTAGTTGTTCCTCCGCAGCTGAGCATGATCGTCGGCCAGCTCGTCGGCAGCCGCCTTCTCCTTGGGCCGCTTATCAACGTGCTGGAGGGACTGCAACCCGACAAAACCGAGCTCCACGCCAATGCGCTCTTTGCTGCCGGTGCTATTGCGCACGCCGGCGTCGTGCTCCAGCCTGCCGCACATCTAGTCGCCCTCTCCCCCGGTCCGGCAGCTTGGCTTGAGTTTGTCGACGTTGCGCTCCGCTGCGCCCCGCTCGTTGATCCTCACGTTGCCTCTCCGTTTATCTGCATGACTACCCGCCTTCTATCGATCCCCGAGCTGGCGCCGGCGCTGTCGAGTGTTGTCGTCGCCAACGCCAGCCATGTCTTCCGGCTCCGGTTTTTGCGCTTCTTCGCAAGCAGTTCACTGGCGATGCGCTTGGGAATCCACCCGGTCACCCTGATCACTTGCATGCCCTTGCTGCCCTCGACTTTCTGGTCGCGCTAACAGCAACTGGGGCTGAAAGCGCCAGCGTCACTGACCTCACCACCTTTGCAGCTGTTTTGAGCACCTCGCTCCCGCTGCGAGTCACTGAGCAAGCGCTTCCGTCGCTAGCTGCACCATCGCTTGTCCCAACATGGCGTTCCACCGCAAGCCACGCCGCTGTCCTCGAAGACATGCTGCTAACACTTGCTGCTCGGGCTGTCCACTCATCCGCGCCCTTGCTGCGGCTCCCTGCCGCGGCGCTTCCGCAGGCAGTCCTTGACGGACACGCCGATCCGCGCCGTGTGCCCTCGGCATGCTCGGCCCTTCATGAGCTCGGGCGCGTGACCCTCACGCCGAACGTTCTGGCTGAGGTTCTCGATCGTATTCCTCCCCGTCCGTCGTTCTCCTCCAGAGGGCTTCTCGCTACTAGCAACGATCCAGCCGGGCTCGAGTCATTGACAGCGGTATTGTCCAGTCTGGTCGAGGCTGCGTTGGCTCCGGCTGCTACATCCGCACAGACTGGCCAAAAGCGGCAACGAGGCAGTTGTGCAACCATTGCCAGCCTCTCACCTGCCGCCCAGATGGCAGCCGCTGAGCGCGGGTGCTGCGCGCTGGCCCATGCTTGTGCTGTTTCCGTACTGTACGAGACCGACGGTGGCGCTGATGCCCACGCGAGCAACATACTTGACGCTCTGGCCGATGCCGCTGGCAAAGTCATGGCCCAGGTCGTTCTACCTGCGACACGGACGGTCGAGGCTGCCATCAAAAGCCCAGGGCAGGGCGTGGCTATGCTGGCAGCCAGCGTGGGGCTCGACTCTTTTATCGCTGCACTCGCCAGCCTCGGCGCCATCGCCGCTGCCATGGCCACACGGGTTGCAGCAGCCGTTCTTATCGACGGCTACTCGGGCCTTAGCGCGGTGGTCAATGCCGTGCTAGCCGACATAGATCTTGCCAAGTGGACGCGCAACAGCCTCGGGCCAAGCCCATCGCCGCAAGCGGCCGGCTCGAGCAGACTGCTCACCGGCCGAACTTCGCGCGATGCCTTTGACCCGGGACTTCGCAGAGGGGACGGCCTTGGTCGGTTTCGGATATTTGACGACAGCACGAGTCTGTCCCAGGACATTGACGACGGGTTTTCACTCGGCTCTGAGACGAGCCATGCGTCACAGGCATCGTCGATCTTCGGGCGGAAGCGCAAGCGGCGCAAGATGGTCGGCGGCGACGACGTGGCTGGCGCATCGCGCAGCGGGCCGCCCGACATGCTCACGATCACGTCGCCGTCGGTTGCTGGGGTTGTGGCCCTCCAGGAGTCGCCAGGTGCCATGGCGCGCGAGGGCTCAGTCCATATTGTTGATGCATTGCTGACGCCGCAGATCAGCGCCCCCGGCGCGGTCCTTCTTGCCGCCATGGACGGAGTCACTTGCGCTGCCGCCGCTCTCGCCTACTCGGTTGACGACGACACTGCCTGGGCCGACACGCTGGGCGAGGTCCACGAGCAATGGCTCTCACCGATGCGGACTCGGCTGGAAACCACGCTGCACCGCGACGTGGTGGTCATGGTCGAGGATCCTGGACTGGGGTGCCTGGCGCTGTCTTCACTGGCAATCGGGTACTGTGCGGTCGGACGCGCCCTGGTTGCCGCTGAGCCAAGCGCTACAACCGACGACAAGGCCAAGTTTGTGTCGGTGTGTTTGGCCTCTGTCATGCCTGTGGCTCTCGAGTTGACCAAGTGGCTCGAAGTGCGGGTGGTCGGCACGCATGCGCTGGTGGCGATGGTGGTACTCGAGCTGACGCGGGTGGTAGAGGTGGTGCCGGTTGTCGCGGCGCAAGCGGTTGTTGCTGCTGACCAGAGTTGCAATGGTCAGTCACTGCTTTCCGCCTTTGGCGATGCTGTGCTCCATGTCATTGTGCCAGGGATGAAGGAACAGGTTGTGGGCTGGCGGGCGCGGAGCTTGCTGGCCGGGCGGGTCTTTCCCGCCGTCCACCTATCGCCGCTCAATGACTGTTTCGCGATCGAGGTACTGATGGCCGGCTTTGCAGACGCGGCGCCTGGGGTGCGAGCAAGCTGCACCAGAGCGGTCCAGGCACTGTTCTCGTCGCTCAAGCCGAGCTTCCACTCAATGCTCCTCGACGACATCTCGAACTTGATGCTGGACGAACAGCGCGCTTCTGCGGCTGGCGCGTACATGCTGTTTGCGCAGCTGCAGCCGGCACTTGCGCAAGCCTCGATCTCACACGAGTGCTATGCTGTGCTCGAGTTGCTGCGAGTGAGTGCGCACGTTCCTGCTCTGGGCTCAATGGCCAAGGGTCGACTGGAAACTGGGGCCAAGGCACTCGGCTTTGGTTGCCCCTGCGAGTGGGCGGCCCGCCATGCCGGCTTTTTGGTGGCCCAGTGGCTCTCCGCTGCAGACGGCGATGCTTCTACCCTTCGCCAGCTAGGCGAGTTGATGGCTGGTGTTTGCGGGTGTGGCCAGGTGGCGCGTGACGGGCCGCTCTGGTGGAGCCAGCTCCTGCCGGCCATTGTGCCGCGGCTGGTGCTCGCCCGGTGGACTGATGCGCTCAAGGTACTCGCCCAGCTGGCCGGCCTCTCGTCGGTGCGCAAGGTGGTGAACGCGGTGTTTGGACCGGTCTTCGCCGGTTTCGTCCCGCTCTTCTCGGCTGGCCACGACTCCGCTTACGCGCTTGCCGACACTCTGATGGGTGAGTATCTGCCGAAGCTGCTCAAAGTTCCGTCACTGGATGCCACCGCCAACGCCAACCTTGACCTCATGGTCATCTGGCTACTGCGGAGTGTAGCGCTCTCGCCAGGAGAGGCTGCGAAACTGGTCGAGTTCCCCGACGAGTGGCATGTCGGCTCGACCGATGTAACAAGGCGGCTGCAAGAGCTAGCTAGCCTTGATGTCTGTGTCAACGACGATGACGACGACGATGATGATGATGATGATGACGACGGCGGCAGGCCCGAATTGGCGCGGCTGTCTGGAGAAAGCCCTGATGAGGTCGGACATGCCTGCGCGACGGCAGAGGTTATTGCGTACTCGCCCGAGGTGGTGGAGAAGGCACTGGTGCAGTTGACCAAGTCGAACCACGGCGACGTCATGACCAGCGCGTGCGTCCATGCGCTTTTTCTGCACTTTAACGGATGGATTGCACAGGCGAAGCGGAGTGAGCACAAGCAGACGCTCTTTAAGCAGTTGGTGTGGGCAGCGCGGCGGGTGCTTGGTGATCGAGTGCTCAACGAGGGACACCTCGCAGGCCTGGTGGTCAACGCTTGTGTGCGGGTGCTGGGCGACGACGCCGCACTAGCCGAGTCGGCGCTTGCAGTGCTAGGCTGGCTGGTGACAAACGGCAGGAGTGAGGTGGTGGCGCAGCTAGGCGAGCTGCTGGTAGCTCACACGGCTGGTCTTGCACGCTCTGACATGCAGCTGTCGGTCCAGATCAAGGCTGTCTCTCTGCTGGGCCTTGTTCTCTTGCCAGCCAGCGAGTGGCGAATCGAAAGTGTGTACGGGTATGCGGTACTCGCGCTCGATGCGAATGCAGACGAGCGTGTCGCCGCTCTGCAAGAGGTGGTGCGAGGCTGGCGGAGCAATGACGATGCCGGCCAGCACAAGCCATCGATGCGCCGGCGGCGATCATCGTCGGCTGGAAGAGGTGCGGCGTGTGCGGCAGCAAGCTCCGAGGCCAAGGCTGCGGCGTACTGGTTTGTCCAGCTGGCTGAGCACCTGGCTGGTCTTGCGACCCGCGAAGCGCGGGTCCAAGAAGTCGCGCTTCGTGCGCTGGCTGTCCACATGGAAGGCTGGCTACATGCGGGCCCGCGAATTGTGCTCTCGGATGACGAGGTGGTGTCCAACGCTGGGAGCGCGCTTCTGGCCACACTTGTCGAGCGGGTGTGGGGCATCGCACGGCGGGCTGACGGCGAACGTGCGGTGCTTGCGGCGAGCGTGCTGGGCAGTCTTGGGGCACTTGGCTCGCTGTTTGAGGCGCGGCGGACCCGCGAGGCGCGCGATGAGGCATGGCTTCGGATGGCACCGCTCAACAGCAGCGGCAAGCGGGTTTCGGCCTCGCTTGCGGTGATTAGCATGCTGGAGCGTGCACGCGAGCGTGCGCGTGGCTCGTACTCGATGTACGGACCAGAGGTGCGGAGCGCGCGGATGCGGGCGCTGGAGGCATGCCAGAACAAGCGTCTGACGGCGAGTATGGTCGAGGCAAAGCGAGTCATTCTCACGGCAGCTGTGGAGCAGCTAGGCGATGCACGCGAGGATTTGAGTCGACTCAGCTTTTTGCTGCTGATGAAGGCCGAGGCCGCACTGGGCTCACAGTGGGGCCAAGTGAAGAGGAAGCTGCCGCGAAGTGTGCAAGCCGTGCTCCAAGTCCCGTCGTCTGGGACGTGCTCGTCGCTCTCATCACTGCTGGTCTGGCTCTGTGCGGACCTTGCGTTTCCGTTCAAAGCGTCGCCGGCGGAGGAGGCAAAGTGGGATGTGTCGCAGTTTGCCGCCGAGGCGTCCGACTCGTTTCGGGGTATGTGCCGCGGCGCAGGCGAGTGGGGTTGGGCGCGCCGGGCGGCACTTGCGCTCTCTTTTGTCTCGTGCGTCGGTCTGTTTCGGCTCTTGCAGCCGCTGCTGGTGCACTCATCGTGGTGGGTCACGCTCTCGTTGCCGCTGCTGTATTTTGAGGCAGCTACTCGGAGTGATGAAGAAGAGCGAGCTGTGCTCCACACCGCACTGAGCGGCGATGCAACGCGAGTGCTCGAGGCGGCAGTCGCAGTCGATGCCAGAAGCGAGGCAGTGGCGGATGCAGGTATGCTGCTAGAGGTGCTCGCGTTTCTGCGGCGGCAGGCTGTCTTTGCCGACGCCGACAAGCAGCCGCTCGAGTGGGCCTCGAGCCTGTGGCTGGACCTGGATCCTGCAGTTGTGGCGCGGGCGGCTGTGGCATGCGGGCGGAGTCACTTTGGCCTCGTCTTCGTTGACTCGTGGGGCCTACGGTGTCGGTCCAACGCCGGCCTGGACAACGTACTGCTTGAGGTGTACTCGGCGCTCGGGGAGACTGAGGCGGTTGCTGCACTCGGAGTGAGCGCGGGCGTGGATGACGTTGTGCATCTAGGCGAGCTCTACGCATCGCAAGGTGCCGGGACACGTGCGCTAGCCTCGTTTGATGCGGCGCTATGCGAGGGCGCCGGTGGTGCTTGTGCGCGAGTTGGACTTGCGACTGTTCTCCACTCGCTGGACCACGGATTTCTCTTTGGCCTGAGCCTACAGGCGATGGGCGATCGAGAGGTGCCGAGGTCTGTCCGCGAGCTGGCCGCCGGGCGGGCGTGGCGCGAGTCTGTGTGGCGTAGCGTTTGCGAGGTGGCCGGAGCAGCAAGTGCAGTTGAGCCCGAGGTCAGGCTGCGCGGTGAGGTCGGGTCCGAGGAGCAGTTTGGACGCGCATTGGCGGCGTTGCAGCGCGGCAAGCCCGAGGAGCAGGCGCAGTCGCTGCGCGCAGCGCGCGCGCGAGTGATCGAGTCTGTCAGCGGCGGAGTGGCCGAGCACGAGGTGCGGAGCGAGATGCGGACCGAGACACGAGTAGGCAGCGTGATCAAGCCAGACGTGCTGGCCGTCTTGCCTAAGCTCTACGTGATCAATGCAATGGAAGGAGTGGCGAGCGGCGAGTGGAGTTGGGACATGGACGGGCCTCAGTTTGAGATTGCCGGCGGAGTGGCACCGCTGACGCCGTTTGAGGCTGTGGAGCGGGTGATGTTGGTCAAGGCGTGGCTGCTGAGCGCGTCGAATGCACGCAAGGCCGCGGTAGGCGTGCTGCGGAGCTTGAGCGTGCGGGCGGCAGAGGCTGGGCAGTACAATACGGCGCTGATGGGTGTGGCGCGGCTAGTGCGAAGCAGCAATGGCGAGTCGCTCGGTGAACTCGCGCTTGACGAGGCCAAGGTGTTCTGGCAGCTAGGCGAGAAGCGCAAGGCTGTGGCGCGGGCGCGGGCGCTGGTGGGGCGACTGGAGAACATGGTGCGAAGCCAAGCCGAGACCAAGGTGCTCTCGTCAGCGCTGCGGCTGATGGGGACGTGGCTGTCGGAGACGCGTGGCGAGTCGTCGTCGGTCATCATCGAGCGGTACTTGGAGCGGGCGCGGACACTAGAGGCGGCGGGCAGCGGACATGAGGTGACGGCGTCATTTGAGGCGATTGCGCGTTACACAGATGAGATGTACCAGGCGTTGAAGGACCAGGAGCAGTCGCATGAGGGCCGCGAGATCCGGCGCTTGCACGAGCGCCGAAAGGCCGAGATTGTCAAGTTTAAGCAACAGCTGGCCGAACTGGAGGTACGCCGAAAGAGCTCGAGTCGAGGCACGCAAAAAGATCGCAAGAAGATTCTGCAAGGGCTCATCAGGGCGCGGACAAAGGAGTTAGGTGTGGACGAGGCGCGGCTGCGCGTGCTGGCCAAGTCGCGGAGCGTGCTGCGCGACAAAGCGCTAGATGCATACCTCTCGTGTCTGGCTTGGGGCTCTGAGGCAGATCTGCGGGTGTTTCGGCTCTGCTCGCTCTGGTTCGAACACGCAGACGACCGTGAGGTCAACATTCGTGTGGGTGAGCGGATCGGCAATGTAGCTTCGTTCAAGTTTGTGCCGCTGGTGTACCAGATCAGCTCGCGGCTGGGAAGCGAGGATGGCTCCGGGTTCCAGGCGGTGCTGGGAAAGCTTGTGGAGCGGATGGCGTTGGAGCACCCGTACCACGTCTTGTACCAAGTGTTTGCACTCGCCAACGGCGAGCGAGCCGCCGGGGCGTCGTCGTCGTTCCAGACCAACCAGGTGAAGACCGCAGCGGCGCAGGCGCTGCTTCGGCGGCTGCAGGCCCAGCTGCCGCGCGGGCTGGTGGCAACGATGGAGATGCTGGTGGAGATGTATCTGGTCATTTCGGAGCTGCCTGTTACGCAGGAGCAACGGCGGCTGCCGCAGGCGTTTTCCTCAACGGCGGCGGCGGCGCAGATGGCAGAGCTGAACAAGCTCGAGCTGGGGCTCTTGGCGGTGCCGTCTTTGGCGCTGAGCCTCGCGTCGGACGGCGAGTATGGCGACGTGCCGCGTGGAGTCGTTTGAGGATGCATTTGACGTGGCGTCGGGCATCAACATGCCCAAGATTGTGATGTTGCGAGGAAGTGACGGACGGGCGTATCGGCAGCTTGTCAAGGGCCGGGATGACATGCGACAGGATGCGGTGATGCAGCAGGTGTTTGGCCTGGTCAACGCGGTGCTGCACGGGCGCGGCTCGGCACGGGCGCGCCAGCTGCACGTGCGCACGTACAAGATTGTGCCACTTGCGCCACGGGCTGGGTTTCTTGAGTTTGTCGATTCGACTGTCCCGCTCGGCGAGTATCTGTTCAAGCCGGTGTCAAGAGTGTGGTCCGACTCGGCGCACGGGCGATACCATCCTGAGGAGCTGACGTACTCGTCTGCGCTCAAGATGATGAAGCGAGTGGCGGAAGGAAGCCGTGAGGACAAGCTGACGATGTTCCGGCAGATCAAGGAAAACTTTACGCCTGTCCTGCACAAGTTCTTCCTCGAGCGGTATCCGGACGCGGTGGAGTGGTTTGCGCGGCGGAGCGCATACACCCGGTCTGTGGCGGCCAACTCGATGGTCGGATATGTGCTGGGCATCGGCGACCGGCACTCGTTCAACATTTTGCTAGACTCTTCGAGCGGCGAAGTGGTGCACATCGATCTGGGAGTGGCGTTTGAGCAGGGCCGCGTGCTTTCGGTGCCCGAGCTTGTGCCGTTTAGGCTGACCGCCGATGTTGTAGACGGCATGGGTGCCACTGGGGTTGAGGGCCTGTTCCGGGCGTCATGTGAGGCGATGCTGCGGGTTCTCCGGACCTCGCAGGAGCTCTTGGTGACGATTCTTGACGTCCTTGTCCACGATCCGCTCTACCGCTGGTCGCTCGCGCCGGTCAAAAAGTGCCAGCTCCAGAACCGCGGCAACGACAACGAGTCGGAGCTCGCTGCGCTCGAAGCCGCCAGTGCTGGTGGGAGTGCAGGCGGCGCACCGGCGTCAGCCAAGGAAGCGGAACGAGTGGTAATGCGAGTCAAGCAAAAGCTGCAGGGCTTTGAAGACGGCGAGCTCCTCTCGATCTCAGGCCAGGTCAACAAGTTGATTCTGGAAGCCCGGTCCGACGAGCTCCTTTCGCAGATCTTCTTTGGTTGGGCACCGTTTGTGTAACGAGCTGTATCGCACGCGCGTCTTCGGCCGGCTGGGTGGGGCCATGTCAGCATGACGCACCACCACCCGCCGCCGTGCGGCAGGCAACAAAGCAGGCCGAAGCGCCCCACACCACACCGCCCTATCGCACTTTACTCTGACCGCAGGGAACAATGAAAGGCATCACACTCAAGGTCCCCAGCCCGGTCACCTTTGCACGTGACCGGGTAGTCAAGCTGGTACTCTTTGCGGACAAACTGTTCATGGACCTGTAGGTGGATGGCATGTGTGGGTGGGTGTGGGACCGGAGTTGGCCAGAGGTGGCCAAAGTGCGCGAGTGAAAGGGCTGAATGGCGTCGGATGGCAATTGCTGATAAGAGGGAAGAGGCGCGGGTGGATGGCCGGCGATAGGTTCCTCGGCATCTGCGGCTCGATTTTCATCTCGGCCTTTTCGCAGGTGGGCAAGTTTACCGAGACGGACAAGTGGTTCATTCCACTGACGATCCTGCTGTGGCTGTATGTGGGCAACCAGCGGCGGACGGCCGCGACGCTGTTCAACCCGTTTGTGTCAACATTTTCCATTGCGGCAAGAGCACGCGAGGGATCCTGGGCGGCGCAAACGCCTCTGGTGGGTGGGATCGGTGGTGGGAGTGCGGAGGAAGGTAGTGGGACCGGGGGCGGCGAGCACCCGCATGCTATGGAGTACCTTCTTGTCTCGACGGCGCCTCAGGCTTCGTTCGCCTCGCGGGTTCTTGACGTCGGCGTCCAGCTCGGCTACATCGTGCTGTATGTGGCGCTCACGCCGCGCAACACCCACTCGGTCCTCATCTCGTACTACTACTTTATGATTGCTTTTGTCACCATCCGCCTGCCGATCCTCTTTATCAAGCTCATCAACACTTTCCGTGAGCGCAAGGCGTCGAGCCCTGTGTAGTGGATATGGTGATGTGATGTCACAGTGGTGGCTAATCACGCATGGCAAGCCTGCCGAAACGTTTACTTCCTCGCGTGTCTGAGCGAGCTCAATGGTACGTAACGGCGGTGGCCTGTATGTGACGGCTGATGTGACGTGGATCCTGCCTGGACCGCTGTTGTAGTGGCCTTATCCAATGGCTGATGACTCGCAAAGTGTAGGGCTTGATGCAAGGCCAGGCACAATGACAAGCAAGTAGATTGGTAAAGCTACAACCACAGCCTTGGCCAGATTTGGCCGGTGGCCTAGCTCAGCCCGTCGCCCAACCGATCAATCACTGGCTGCGCCGTGTGCTGGTGAGCATACTGGCATTTGTTCCTGACCGACTATGCGTCACCCACACCCACCCACCCACCCACACCCACACACACACACACACACACACACACACACCTCACCCGCCCTGCATTACATACTCTATTGGCGGGGGCGGGTATGACCTCGGTGGAAGGGCCGGGGCGGGGGTACAGGTCGGAGGCGGTGGCGGACGACAACAATGTCCATGGCTGTGAGAGACAGGCCAACAAGGACGGCAAGCAAGACGACGATGCGGTGGTAGTGCTCGAGGTGGTGGCCGATGGCGTGGGAGAGGAGGCAGAGCTGGCAGCGCTGGATGGGAAAGGCGAGGAGGGAAAGGCTGGCGAACAACGCGGATGCAGATGCCGGCGGCGTGACTTGGAGCGGCGACGGCGGCGATGGCGGACGCGTCGCGGCGTAGGGGAGCGCATGCTGCGGCGAGTGGCACGGGCCGAGTGGCGGAGGGCCGGCGGTGGTGGAAGTGGCGATATACTTGACTCGATAGGAGCCATGGCAGCATCCAAATCGGAGACGAACCAGGTGTTGCTGAAGGTGCTGACTAAGCGGATCGATGCCTTGGAGAGCACCATTGCGAAGCAGGCGAGCACCATTGCGAAGCAGGCGACGGAGGCTGCGGACACCATTCGCGAGCTGAAGAGTACCATTCGCGAGCTGAGGATGCAACTTGCTAGCGCGGGCATCATCATTCGCGAGCAGGAAAGCACCATTCACAAGCTGACGGTGCAACTTGCTAGCGGCGGGCATCATGCCCATGACGATGGGCCACAACGACACGGGCCGAGTGGACGGAGGGCCGGGCGGTAGATGGAAGTGACAATATACTTGACTCGATAGGAAGCCATGGCCAGCATACAATTGGGAGACGGATCAGGTGTTGCTGAAGGTGCTTAATAAACAGATCGATTCCTATGAGAGAGCACCCATGCGGAAGCAGGCGAGCATATTTACGAAGCGAGCGACGGAGGCTGCGAACACCATTCGCGAAGCAGGCGAGCACCATTGCGAAGCAGGCGACGGAGGCGACGGAGGCTGCGGACACCATTCGCGAGCAGGAAAGCACCATTCACAAGCTGACGGTGCAACTTGCTAGCGCGGGCATCATGCCCATGACGATGGCCACCAACGACACCAGCAGCTCGCGGAAGCAGACGACCTCGGAGGGCAGCAGCACGAGCTCTGAAGGGAGTAGTGCGATCCCTATGTCCGAGAGCTCGTCTGGTGCGTGTGACCGTGAGTAGGGCATGGCGGGCTTGATCAACCTGTGTGATCGTTTTCCGACGCATGCGCGCTCGGAAGGAGAGGCAGACTGCGGCACCGAAAGAGCACATCGGAGAGGGATAGACACGAGGTGGGGGACAGTGCCATGTGGATAGCACCATGCCTCGCCAGGCACTGTTGTACCGTACATGCATGGAGTTGCACAAGAAGGTCACGCCTCCCTCCGCGTTGCGCCAACACCAGGAAAAGGTCGCGAAATGCTGTTTTGGTGGCTCAAGCCACAGCCTCCCCATCGAACACCATCACCAGCCCCTCCCCCATCCATCGCCACCACCAGCCCCTCCCCCATCGAACACCATCACCAGCCCCTCCCCCATCGAACACCGCCACCAGCCCCTCCCCCATCGAACACCACCCCATCACGATCACCAGCCCCTCCCCCTTCCATCACCACCACCAGCCCCTCCCCTTCCATCACCACTCCATCGATCACCACCCCAGACCCACACGCCGACCACCTCACTCAGCCAAACCATGCTCGCCAGAGTGAGTCGGTGCGTGGCACAGGCTATGACGCATGCCGCAGTTGCTGGGCGGGCCATGCCATTGCGAAGCGGGCACGCGCAGGCCAGGGCGGCGGTGGAAGCGGCGCGGCGGCGTGAAGCGTCAGGCGGCGGTGGCGACAGCGGAGGTGGCGGCGGCGGAGGCGTGTTCCCGACCTTTACGCGGCGCGGGGTGGTAGCGGCGTCTGTGGCCTTTGCGGTGGCGGCAGGATCGTATGGGGTGTACATGGCCGACGGCGACGATACGGCATATCTGCTTGCCACCGCGCCGCAGCTGGTGGCGGGCCGCCACTGGAGCCGGCTTCAGGAGGACGATCTGGAGGGTCTGGCGGCTGCTAGTGGGACTAACGACGCGCTCAAGGCTGTCCTCGCCCGCGAACCTGAGGTGCTTCGCCAGCTTCTGCGCGTCGCTGCCCTTGCGCCGGAGCTCAGCATGCGCAACGCTGCGTCCAAGACCCTCGACAATGTGTGCCAGGCTGCGGCGCCGCAAGTCCGCGCCTCCGTGCTTGACTCGGACGTGGTCACTGCCATGGCTCACATTGCGGAGGACAAGAGCATGACGCTGGTGGTCCGCAAGAACCTGGCGTCGGCACTTGCCCATCTAGTCGCCAACACGCCTGCCGACGAGCCGCTCGCCGCCGCCCTTGTTGACAACGTTCACGTCCACAGCGCCCTGGCCAACGCAAGCGACAACATTTACATCCGCCGTCGCGCCTTTGATAAGGCCGCTGCTGCGCTGGCCATTGCTGCCCTTGAACGGCCAGAGACTGCGAGCAAGATTGGCGTCGAGCGGCCGGAGCTGCTGGCCCGGCTGGACAAATTGGCAGAATCGGCGCGGGCGACGCAGGCGTCGTGGCTGGCCTCGGCCGGCGACAGCATTGCAGACTCAGGCCTGCTCCTCTACCTGCACACTGCGCTGGGCGGTGGCGCGTGGGGTGCGCTGCAGGCGTTCCGGGCAGGCGAGAGCTCGCAGGCAATCGCCCGTGCTGCGCTCCGCACCTCGCTCGTCACTTCGCTCGTTCCCATCTGCGTTGTCGGCGGCATGGTCACCCTCTACAACTATGTCCGGCGCCAGGTCGACGATCCACTCCCGCTCATGGCCTTCCACACCGGCTCGATGCTCGCCCTCTACCCGCTAATCTTCATCATGCCCGCCGTCGACGCCTGGGCTCCTATGTGGATCGGCGGCCATGTCGTCGGCTTTATCTCCTTCTTCACCTATCTCTACGTCACTGACGCGGACCTGCTCAAGGCCGACGGCGAGCTGCTGATGCGTGACACCGCCATCGCGGAGACCAAGGGCCTGGCCTCAGGCCTGGCCAACACGCCCGATCTCGCGGCTTTTCTCCATCTCGACGAGGTCGCTGATGATGCCGGGCCAGTTGCGCTCGTTCCCACGGACAAGTAGGTCAGCCACGCTTGCCGTCAGCACTGTAGGTGATACGGCCTACATTCTCGCGGTGATAAAGACGAGATCACGAGCACGGCTCGTAGCCGCGACCGATACCGCATCTACCCGTACACATCGTGTCAGCAGGCTGGAGATTGCAAACGCGCCTGTGCACTCCTCGCCTCCCTCCTCACGACATCCCGTCCTCCATTGGCCTCTGCACCCGCCGAAATCCTCGTGCAGGCCACGTCGCCGAAAACCACCGCCATGCCGTGACGGCAACCGGCCACGGCACACGGCGGCACGCATGGCCCACACGCACAAGCCAGTGGAGCCCCCGTCGAGCAGTCCGACAACAGCACCCCACACCCCACACCCCGCACACATACACCCGGCGTGCATGCAGGGTCACGGTGCGGGTGAGACAGAGGCGGAAGCAGGGCTCAGGGAATGGCCCGTGGTGGAGGTGGTGGGGCGGGCGGCGATGCCGACGGGAGCAGCGGGGGAGGACGGCCGAGCAGGGCGAGGCTGCGGTGGCCGGCGGAGGATGCGAGGCGGAACGCAATGCCGCTGGATCTGGTCGAGGATAATGTGACCTGGCGATGGCTGACGGTGGCGGCTATGGTCTCTGTCTTTGCTGCCGCTCTCGCCATCGGCTATCCACTCGCTCTGGCCTCTATGGCCGTCGGCGAGGTCACCGAGTGGCTTCCGGCCAACGCCACCGGCCCGGGATCGCCGCCGGTGGAGATCGAGCACAACAAGGGAACCGCCACCGGCATGTACAACATTCTCCTTGCCACTGCCCTCTCCACCCTCCTCATGCATAGCTGCGTCTTCTCCGGCGCCGGATCGGGCCGCTCGGCCACCGCTGCCCTCACCTCCGCGCTAGGGACCGCCTCTGTCGTCGTCGTCGTCTGGCTCTTCTACCTTGCCGCTCCGCACAACTCGCCGTGGGCTGTGGTTTTATCTGGGGCTCGATGGCCTGCTTGGCTGCCGTAGGTGCCGGCCATCTCGTTCTCGCTTGCCTGCGCGCCACCAAGGGCACCGCCGCCGTGGATGGCTCCGGCTTCGCCGTCAGCCATCGCACGTGGGCACGAACCTACACGACGGCGCTGCTCGACCCGCGCCTTGCCCGGCCGTCTTGGCATGCTCCTGTTGCGGCGCTAGGGGAGTGGGAAGAGGTGTCATCTTGGAGCGGTGGATCGGAGGCGAGCCAGGATGACGACGTGCGCAGCCGAGGTAAGCCACCGCCGCCGCCGATCATGACTGTTGTTGGCATGGGTCTGCCGCGGCCAGTCTTCTCGCCGTGGTACCACACCTGGAATGAGACCGAGCGTGAGCTTCATCATGAGCCGTCAGCTGCTGTGCGTTGCAAGCTCTACTTTGTGGTGCTGGCAGAGCAGTTTGTGGCCGCTGTGACTCGATGGTGCGTGGCCGCGCATAACGCCTGGCGTACACGCAACGAGTCTACCGCCACGCCGTGGTGGGCTGTAGTCTACTTTCCGCAGCGGCTGCTGTTTGCCGCTGCATCGGGCGCTTACCTTGTCCTCGTCATCACCGTCCTGGGCATTTACTACGCCATCGAAGGTTGGAAGGTAGCAAGCGAGATGCCCGGCCCCTGGGGTGGGGTAAGCAAGGCAAGTGCACTCGCGCTCGGTCTTGGCGCAATCATCATGTTTGTACTGGTGATTCTCATGACCTGGCTCATGTTTCGGCGGTATCGTCAGCTCATCTTGCAGCTGCGGCGCGGAAAGTACGTCTTTGATCCGCGGCAGTTTGCGCTCACCGATGCCTCATACTTTGTGCCGTACCACATCGTGCACCTCGTACTCGGCAGCTTTGTTCTCATGTTCATTCTCACTCTTGCGCTTGGCATTGGCCTCCTCACGTTCTTTGTTCCGGCGGTGCGGTCGTGGGCGGTGACTGCGGCACGGCATCTGCTGGCGACAGTTGTCGTCAATGCTGTGGTGTGGTGGCTCCTCCGCAGCGTCTTTGTGGCCGTCTACTTTGACGACGGCGGCCTCATCCGCAATCGGCGGTGGTTCTCGCTCTTCGACTACCTCTCGACGTACCTCAACTTGGCGACTGGGCTTGCAGCTGCCGTGAAGCGGCTGGTCTGGGCGCTGGTCATTCAGTTTGCCATGCTCTGGCGGCTAGACGTGCCGGCCTATCCGCGCGGCTACGAGGCGTGGGACGCCGGGTTCTCGGCCTTTGTCGGCATGCTCCTCCTTGACCACCAGTACAACTCGCCGGTGTTTGTGGCGGCTGCCGAGGTGTTTGCAGCATACGGCGTCATGCCCGTCGGAGGTGAGGCTACTCCACTGCTGGTGCCGGTCGATGCTGCCAACTGTCGCCGGCGGGAGCCGCCGCGCTCGCGGCGGGCGCGCAACCGTTGGCATCTTGCCTTCACCCTTGTCCGCAACCCGGAGCTCGTGGCATACCGCGCCCACCACCTGGAGGTTCTGCGAGCGTCAGGCATCGACCTCAATGGCAAGCCGGGCCTGTGATGGTGCGGGCGTCACAGCTCATCGTGCGGCACGTAGTCACCGGTGCCAGAGAAAAACTCATCATCATCATCGTCGTCGTCGCCGCCAGCGTCGCCCGCAGTGGCGCCGGCGTCGTCGTCGTCACTCATAGAGAGAAAGGCGGTCGGCGAGCGCTGAGCAGCGAGGTCGTCGTCAGTCCACAGCTCGGACTCGGCAGCCTCGCCAAAGTGGTCGGCGCTCAGCAGATCGTCGTCGAGAGTGAGATTTGCGGCGACTGATTCCGGGAGCGGGAAGAGGACGCCGAGCGGCGAGACGACCGGATCAAAGACATACTGCGAGGAACCGCCCATTGAGGCGAGCAGACACTCGGGCGCAAAGTGAGCGGCCAGGACGTCCTTGTAGTCGGAGCCGACAAACTCGATCTTGGACACGGTCCGCTTGTCGAGCATGCCCTTGACAAGACGCCAGACGCCCGAGAACACCCACGGAGCGTTGACCATCCACATCTTTCCCAGCCGCTCAGGGTACGAGGTCTGCAGGACCTGCAGCACGCCACGAAGCATGGCCGTGTCGTAGTTCTTCATGGACGAGCCGGTAAAGTCGACGATGACGGCAAACTGCGAGACCGGCGGATACATCCAGGGATGGCGGTCTCGACCATGAGCAGGACGTGGTGGACGGCGGGCTCAGGAGGCCCGCCCTTGGTGTGCGCCCGCATGCGGACCACAATGACCGGGCGGCCCTGGGCATCAACTCGGTGCAGAAAGGCCTTGCCCGGCATCAGCTGCTGGGACATGCCCTCCGAGTCAATGCTCAGCGCCTCGATGCCCTTGGCCGCCCGCCACTCTAGCGCCGACCGCAGCATCTCGCTCGCCTTGCTTACGTTCATGGCCCGCGCCCGGAGAAACCTCAGCCGCTGCAGCGGCAGCACCTCGGGGAACTCCTCGCCCAGCGCCGCCACCCCTGCGGCTTCCTCGCTGCTCAGCTCGCCCACCACCGCCTCCTCCCACGCCCACCGCCGCCGCCGTCGTCGCGCCCTTGCCTGGCCCTCCCTATCCATATTTCAGGGGAGAGACACGTAGAAGGTAGGAGGGGGTGGAGTGGTGGGAGATACGGGAGTGGGTGTGGTGGGGGATGCGGGAGTCGGTGTGGTGGGAGTGGCAGCGCGAGTGGGTGTGAGAGTGCCACGTGACCGTTCCGCCACCCGCCGTCCCGGGGCATGGCCATCATGACCACCATCACCACCATCACCACCATCACCACCATCACCACCATCACCACCATCACCACCACCATGATACATGATCACCATCACCACCAACTCCAGGGAATCACCCTATCCACCTCCATCCCCACCCGATCACCAATCCCCTACTCCCCCCCCCTCCCCCCCCCCCCCCCCCCCCT